CACAGCCCCTGCGCCCACGACGACAGCCGCAGCGACCGCGACAGCGGTGGGGGACGCTGCTGAGTCGAAGAGAACTCAGCCTGGCCACCGGACCTACTTACTCGCCTTGCTGATTTTCTATTTTTATAAGAGTTTACGACTTTTCTAAAACTTTTGTATACAAAGGAACTTTTTTTAAAAAGACGTCTTCAATATATATTTAATCCAAAGAAGAAGAATCTCGGGCAATTGGGTTGTTTCTTTTTTCTTTTCTTTTTGGTTTTTGGCTCCGTTTCTAAGGTTTTTTTTTTTTTTACCCCCCTCTTGACTTTGGGGTTCGGATACCCCAGCTGCTTCGGGCACCCGAGGACCTTCTGGGCCCCACATTAATGAGGTAAGTAAGATGCGAGGCATTGGGTGGGAAGGGGAATCAGTGGGACGCCACTGGAGCAGCGGTGGAGAGTGGCCCTTGACTTCTGCCTCCCTGTGCGCTCCGCAGGCAGCCACCTGGCGAGTCTGACATGGCTGTCAGCGACGCGCTGCTCCCGTCCTTCTCCACGTTCGCGTCCGGCCCGGCGGGAAGGGAGAAGACACTGCGTCCAGCAGGTGCCCCGAATAACGTAAGTATCACGCAAGGCTACAGGGAGCACCTAGTGGATTTCTGTGGGTGGTACGTGGTCGAGCGGAACCCGGCGGTCACTTAGAGACCCCTGACAAGGGGAAGAAGTGTCCGTCTCGCGGACTCCACAGCCTTCCCAGGATGGCTTCCACGCCCTTGGGTCGGGTACGTGCGTGTGGTCCCGCACTGCGGTGCCGCCAGGGTCGCACAGTGGGTCTTCACAGGTCCCCAGGCGTGCAAGCGGTAGGGTCCGCGCGGCTGGGCCACCCGGCGGGAGGTAGCCAAGTCCCAAGACACCGGCTCGGCCCGAATGAGCTTAGCGCGTAGGCGGCCGGGTGGCAACGGCGCACCGGGAGAGCCGCGGTGTCCCAATTCCGGGGGTGGCAGCAGAGTCTCGGGGATCTGGAAGGGGGAGGGTCCGGGGCGCTAGTTCAGGCAGTCAAGAAGACACAACATGCAGACGCATCAGCTTCCCTCGAACCCGGGTGTTGGCAGAGATTGCAGCGTTGGCATCTGGAGTCCCCCTGAGCTTTCTGCCCTGCCCATTCCCCAAGTCTGGGAGGTGCAAGTGCTCTTGGCTCGCCAAGAAGTCACTGCGACGGGTGGTTATAGGGGACCACCATTAACGGTCTCTCTCCAACCCTGTTCCCACAGCGCTGGCGGGAGGAGCTCTCCCACATGAAGCGACTTCCCCCGGTGCTTCCCGGTCGTCCCTACGACCTGGCGGCGGCGACCGTGGCCCCAGACCTGGAGAGTGGCGGAGCCAGCGCTGCGTGCGGTGGTAGCAACCCGGCCCTTCTACCCCGAAGGGAGACTGAGGAGTTCAACGATCTCCTGGACCTAGACTTTATTCTCTCCAACTCATTGTCCCACCAGGAGTCGGTGGCCGCCACCGTGTCCTCGTCGGCGTCAGTCTCATCCTCTTCATCCCCATCTAGTAGCGGCCCTGCCAGCGCGCCCTCCACCTGCAGCTTCAGTTATCCGATCCGGGCCGGGGGTGACCCGGGTGTGACGCCAGGCGGCACCAGCGGCGGCCTCCTCTATGGCCGGGAATCAGCGCCGCCTCCCACGGCTCCCTTCAACCTGGCGGACATCAACGATGTGAGCCCTTCGGGCGGCTTCGTGGCGGAGCTCCTGCGGCCCGAATTGGACCCCGTGTACATTCCGCCGCAGCAACCGCAGCCGCCAGGTGGCGGGCTGATGGGCAAGTTTGTGCTGAAGGCATCGCTGAGCGCCCCTGGCAGCGAGTACGGCAGCCCGTCGGTCATCAGTGTTAGCAAAGGCAGCCCTGACGGCAGCCACCCGGTGGTGGTAGCGCCCTACAGCAGCGGGCCGCCTCGCATGTGCCCCAAGATCAAGCAGGAGGCGGTTTCCTCGTGCACGGTCGGTCGACCCCTAGAGGCCCACTTGGGCGCTGGACCCCCGCTCAGCAATGGGCACCGGCCTAGCGCGCATGACTTCTCCCTGGGGCGGCAGCTCCCCAGCAGGACTACCCCGACCCTGGGTCCCGAGGAACTGCTGAGCAACCGGGACTGTCACTCTGCCTTGCCGCTTCCCCCAGGATTCCATCCCCATCCGGGACCGAACTATCCACCCTTCCTGTCCGACCAGATGCAGCCACAGGTCCCACCACTCCACTACCAAGGTCAGTCCAGGGGATTCTTAGCTGGGGCTGGGGAGCCCTGCGTGTGCTGGCTCTCCGGGGCCCACGACATGATGTTGACCCCACCTTCTTCGCCCCTAGAGCTCATGCCACCTGGTTCCTGCCTGCCAGAGGAACCCAAGCCAAAGAGGGGAAGAAGGTCTTGGCCCCGGAAAAGGACCGCCACTCACACTTGCGATTATGCCGGCTGCGGCAAAACCTATACAAAGAGTTCTCATCTCAAGGCACACCTGCGAACCCACACAGGTAGTGTGACAGAAGCTGAGAAAGCAGGCAGATTGGTGTCCCGGGGCTTATAGGATAGCTGTGAACGCACTCCTTTGGGTGCTTGTGGTATATATATGTGTAATCTCCTTCATCTCCTGGATCACAGGAGAAGACAGCCAACCGGCCCCTGTGTTGTTTTTTTTTTTTTTTGCCCACGAGCCTTTTGCTTGATGGATGATATCTGCTTGAATATGCAGTTTTGTTAGGTCTTTAAAAGGCAGGGAGATTCCCAGCGGAATGTGGGCCTCTCCTTAGTTGGGCAAAGCCTTGATCTAGTAATCAGGAAATTATACTTTGCCCTGCAAAAATTGATGGCTTTTTTCTTAAATCAAATTTTAATTTTCTAAATTATTCTCTTTTCAGGATCACCTTCCTGTTAGTTCTAGTTTAAATAATTAGATTTTATTCAGATTGCAATAATGAACTATTAAGGTTCTTGGATTTCCTAAAATCCTCAAATCATTTACATAATAGTTTTCTTTAAAAAAAAAAACAGAAATGGCAGTACCATGGGGGGAAAAAGTAGGATAGGATACTTTTGTTTCCTTTGGGCAGAGACAGCATCAATATTTCCAAGTTCATTGACACCACTGTGATGTCTTGGATTTAAAACATGAAAAACATTAGCCTGATAACAATGTGGATGTGGGCAACAATGTGGATGTGGGCGGTTTGTGTGTTTTCACTGCTTAAGTACTGTTTCCCTAAAAAACAGAGCAAATGCTTAGTTACTATTACTGATGTGAAATTTAATGTGGCCCTTTAGTAGTATAAAGAGATTTCTAGATTCTTTCACAAGGGAGCATCTGGGGAGTTGATATTAGTATCTGGCCTCCAGTTATAATAGAGGTCTCTTCTTTATTCTGGCTATGGCTTCAGCTTTTTTCCCCCCATTTCCCTTTACAGGTGAGAAACCTTACCACTGTGACTGGGATGGCTGCGGGTGGAAATTTGCCCGCTCTGATGAACTGACCAGGCACTACCGCAAACACACGGGGCACCGCCCGTTCCAGTGCCAGAAGTGCGACCGGGCCTTTTCCAGGTCGGACCACCTGGCCTTACACATGAAGAGGCACTTTTAAATCCCAAATAGTGGATATGACCCACACTGCCAGAAGAGAATTCAGTATTTTTTTTTAACCTTTCACACACCGTCTTCCCATGGGGGAGGAGCCCAGCTGACAAGCACTACAATCATGGTCAAGTTCCCCAGGAGTCAGCTTGTGAAGGAACGGATGATCGGTAGAAAGGAGGAATGAAAGACTCAAAGAACTGACGGGTCTGTGACTGGATCTTCTATCATTCCAATTCTCAATCCAACTTGAACATGCCTGGACTTACAGAATGCCAAGGGGTGACTGGAAGTTTGGATATCAGGGTATAAATTAGATCCGAGAGTTGGGGGTGGGGGGAGGGAAGAGCAGAATTCCCTTGAATTGTGTTTCCATGCAATATTAAGCATAAAGATCACCTTGTATTCTCTTTGCCTTCTAAAAGCCATTATTATGTTAGAAGAAGAGGAAGAAATTCAGGTACAGAAAAATGTGTTTTTTTAATAGCCTACGCGCGATGGTGCTTGGTGAGTCTTGGTTCTAAAGGTACCAAATGAGGAAGCCAAAGTTCTCAAACTGCTGCATACTTTGACAAGGAAAATCTATTTTTGTCTTCCGATCTACATGTATGACCTAAGTCAGGTAAATACGCCTGGTTTACTTCTTTTACATTTTTTATGCAGACAGTCTGTTATGCACTGTGGTTTCAGATGTGCAATAATTTGTACAATGGTTTATTCCCAAGTATGCCTTAAGCAGAACAAATGTGTTTTTTTCTATATAGTTCCTTGCCTTAATAAATATGTAATATAAATTTAAGCAAACTTCTATTTTGTATATTTGTAAACTACAAAGTAAAAAAAATGAACATTTTGTGGAGTTTGTATTTTGCATACTCAAGGTGAGAATTAAGTTTTAAATAAACCTATAATATTTTATCTGAACAATGATTTCATTGTTTTTGTTTTTGTTCTGGAGAATCGTGTAACAGATTTCAGTTTATACATTGGGGAAGAGGGCATCTGAGAAGCATGTTAAAAAGCCAACTTGTTCTGAACAGAGGTTGTAAAAGACTTGTTTTTTTAAGCTACTTAGTTTTACAATCAGTACTACCAGAGCTGAGTACTGAAAATTATCAAATTTAGAAAACATCTGGTCTGGGTTGCTCTACAAATGTACATAAAACTACACAAGAGCAGTTTTCTTATTTGAATGTGATTTCCCAGGTAGAAACAGCTCAATTATTCTGTTCAGTTTTAAAATGAATGTTTATCAATAAACATACACATTCCAGTTTCACATTTTAAAAATATCTTCATGGTTTGTCTTTAATTAAAAGTAAGTGAAAATATACAAGTTTTGTCTCTCTGGAGGCCCGCTCTTGTGCTCCCCACGAATTTTGAGTAACAAAGGAATCTTCCCCAGGCAGACAACCATAAGAACAGTTCCACAGTGCCCTCCTGAGGATTAAAGGATCTATTCATTCTGTTTGTGACAGGGTGTATGTGTGTGTGATCCCCAAAGAGGTCTGGAACAGCTTCTAGCAGATTATTTTAAAACTTCCTCAACTCCTCTGAAGACAGAAACTGACTATAAAATTAAAAATTAACTCATTCATGGTGCTGGGAATGTGGCTCAGTACTAGACTCTGCCTGAGTAAGATTCTTGTGTTTGATTCCCCAGCACCTTCAAAATTATTTGTATTAACAAAACTAATTATAAATTTTAAACTTTTAAATGGTGTTTTTGCAAGTAAATAGCATTTTATTTCTGGGTTATGCATGACAATAGAATGCACTATGACACATCATCATACATAAATGGAGTATAAATTCCCATTCTTCTGGGTGTACATGTTGTAGAGTTACACCAGTCATCTAGTCATATCTGCACATGGGGTCATAATGTCCAATTCATTCTACTATCCTTCATACCCCTCTCCCCTCCATTCCCCAATGCCTAATCCAAAGTAACTATTTTTCCCTAGCCCTCCCCCCAATATTTCTATAGTTTAAGTTTCAAAACTGCACTATTCTAATCTCAAGTGTCTTGAAATGGGTGTCCAAGAGAGTCAAGTAAATTCATTTGTGGCTGTCACAAAATGGAAAAGCATTTGTGACACTTGTTGACACCACAATGGCGATATGAGTGACTAACAAGATCATCAGGGGGGCAGAGCTGACTGTCATTTTCCTTAGAGTGCTTATTAACTGTCCATTATATCTAGTGTCCAGAGGTGTGTTGGCTCCATTGTACACTTATAAATGGAATGAAAAGAAATTCACAGAGGCTCGTGGTGGATCAACACAAGGTATTGTCTTTGGCTTTTAGGAGTCCAGCCCAACTGGAAAGCATGGCATGTGTCTTTGCTTAAAAGAAAACAGGTGCATCAATAGGATGGAATTTTATGTGGCCAAGAACATATTCAAAGCATACTTAATGACATAGAAAATGCTCGTGGTATGTTAAGTGGAAAAAGTAGGATAGAAGACTATTAAAATTCCAAATGTGTGCCTTTCTTTGTATGTGTGTGTGCCCGGGGGTGGGAGTGGGGTTGGGGGGGATAGAAATTGAAAATTAACAATTAATTTGAAATTAAGAGAAAAACCTGGAAGGAAATGCCAAAATATTAAATTTTCCTTTTTTTTTTTTTTTGCAATTTCTAAATACTCTAAATTAAGTGCAATATGTAAGGAGAATTTTTTAAAAAATTAAAAATATTTAGACTTTTTTTCAAAAGAGTAAAGTTATGAACACATTTTCCTTGGTATTAAATTGTGTTTGTTGCTCTTAAAATAATCCACTTATTCAGAAATTTCTGGCAAAGTGTTGATGTATGAATATGGTTTATTGAGTGATTGCTGCCATCTTTTCCGCTAAGTGCCTGTTACTCTATAGAAGAAACATCATGATAAACTGTCAAAACATTTTAAATCGATTCAAATTTTTCTAACTTCATAGGGAAACATTGCTACACATTAACTTTTTGTAACCTGAGAAAGAGAGCTTCAATATCAAAAATGAATGAGGAAGATTTCCCCAAAATGTAACAGAACAAAATGCAATTTAACACACACAAATAGTTCAACTATTTGCTCTCACACACATCAGTTCTGCACTCCTAGGTGTACTGTCATTACGGTGTTACGGAGCCATTTACACTGTATAATAAAGAGCACCTAATAATTGAGATGCCTGCTTATTATAATTTTTTCCTTATGACATTTAATTTTATATGGCTTGTGTGCATACAACCACAAAGGATTAACAATAGTGGTTTCTAGCAAAATATTCTTTTGACAAGCATACATACCTGACTCTTACAACCATGTTTCGATTTGTAAAACTAAAACTGGACTTTCACCATCACGAGTATGGTCGGGGAATAATTCTTTTCAAAAATTATTCCTAATTTTAGAAATGGAAATCAGTGTTTAATACTTGAAAATTAACAATTTTTACATACAATTTCTCAATTTCTTTTACTTTTTTTTTTTTTTTTACACCGGGGATTGAACCAGGGGAGTTGAACCACTGAGCCACATGGCCAGCCCTTAAAATTTTTATTTTGAGATCTGGGATGGGAGCTAAGTGGTAGAGTGCTTGCCTAGCAAGCATGCATGAGGCATTGGGTTCAATCCTCAGCACCACATAAATATAAAATAAAGATATTGTGTCCACCTAAAACTCAAAACAAATTTTTTTTTCTTTTAAATTTTTGAGACAGTGTCTCACTAAGTTGCTTAGGGGCTTGCTAAATTGCTAAGGCTGGCTTTGAACTCAGGATCCTCCTGCCTCAGCCTTCTGAGCCACTGGGATTATAGGCTATGCCACCTCGCTCAGCCTACATAACAATTTTTTTTATATATGAGGAAGCCTAGGTGAGGCCATCTTTATATTATAGAAACAACTCCACAGAGAAAATATTAAAATAAGCAATAAGCGGGTACAATGATCCACACCTGTAATCCCAGAGTCTCAGGAGGCTGAGACACAAGGATTGAAAGTTCAAAGCCAGCTTCAGCAACTTAGTGAGACCTGTTTCAGTAAAAAATAAAAAGGGCTGGGAATGTGACTCAGTGGTTAGGTGCCCCTGGGTTAAATCCCCAGTAGCCAACTGAAATAATATAAAATAAAACATGCAGTGGTGGTACCTGATAAATTTTGTTATATGGGAGTATATGACTTTTGTAGCCTGCATCAGCCAACCTGTTGTATGTGCTTCTGACACTGCATTGAGCACAACTCACACGCATAGATAGATTTGTAGAACAGATTCTCCCTACACATACACCTCCCTCTCTCTCCCTCTGTCTTATACAGACATAGGCACCTCCCAGTTCTACATAAACCCATTTATGATTTTATCATTTTGTCATTAAATTATTTCTTTTATCTTGTGTATTTGCTTTAGTTCTTTGTATTTTCTTAGCACCTTCCATAGGTTATTGTATCAATTTGACATGGTTTTATAGTACAGAACTGAAGGTATGTCTGCCTCCTAAAAATTGTTTATGAAACTATATTGTTCACACAGAGCCATTCAATATTTCACATAAAACCGCTACAGCCTGTCCACAGAGCAGAACACAGTGTTTAACCCTAGAAAACAATTGTCAAAATCAGAATGCTGTATGAAAGTAAAAGTTGTTTTTGTTGTTTTTACTTTTTTTTTTTAACATTAAGTGAATCTAAAAAGTTGGAAACAACCTTTGGGCACAAGGTATTGATATTCAAATACCAAATACCAAAATAAATCTTAGTGAATTTCTTACCATCTCTTGAAAAATGAATGAAATCTTAAAACCTTTTAAGTACTTAGTGCTTCAAGGCCTTTGTCAGTGTCAAAACAGAGCAGGGAGGAAGAGAGAGAGAGAGGGAAACCAACTGCTAAACTATTGGCAAAAACACGGAAAATCTTTCAGGCTGGTATCAAGACTGCTACAGCCAGGTGACTTATTTGGGGAGGGAGGGGTGCTGGCCCGTCAGTCAGTCAAATTGCTTCTCTGAAACCACGTACATTCTGCAACCATCCTTTTAATCGTTTGTTTTTTGTTTTTTTTTTTTTTCAGGATGCCCTTGACATAGTATCACTTTTCTGATTGCTTTAGTCTCCTCAACACCTAGATGAGTCAGCATTTTACAACAGGTCCACCCAAATGTCCTTCTCTGCTTGTTCTTAGAGGAAAAGGAGGAAATAAACAGAAACTCAATTTAATTGCAAGAAAATGTAAATTCACGCTTACCTGGTCCCTTTGAGAGCTCCTCCAAGTTCACCTAACAGCATTTTTCACTGATGAAACATAATAATTAAGAGGATACCACAGAGTGTTCGGACATTTGCTACATTTGTTATGCTTTTATGTTTCTTTCCTGTCCGTGTTACATGTTATCTGAGCAAAGCAGGAAACAAGAGAAAGGGTTTTGTTTGTTTTGTTTTGTTTAATGGAGCCTAGGTGGATGGAAAGGGAAGGGAGAATAGAGCCCTGAGTTTGGCAATTATCTAGTTAAATCAACTGCAGCAAACAGTCAAACCTGTCCAATCTGAGGCCAGGAGATGGAGTGGATTATCTCATATAGAATATTTTAATCTGTACTGATGCTATGTTACTACATAGTGGCCAAATCCCCATGACACACAACCAACGTAGTCAGCTGCTACACCTGAACACCCACATAAAAGCCTTTAAAGTAGATAATAACTACAGAGAAATTGAAGGCAGCCTAGACACACACTTGCTGAAAGCCTGAGCAATAAATAAATTGGTGCAAACTACAAAAGCAGAGTGTCCTAGACACAACCAGAAAGGGTTCTGAGGACAAGGGGCAGGCACGCCTTGTGTCTAGACAATCCAGGTCCCTTTTTGTTGCTATATAATAGTCCCTTACTTCTGCACAGCACCGTGAGCTTTTTTTCTGAAGTATTTGCAACTTGGGTTACGTAATTGAT